ATCACCATCAGGGAGAGTGGACCCAAAGAGCGAGACAGAGAGCCCTAGAGCCCAGTGAAAAGCTGGCGCAGGTCTCAGGAGAGAGGGGCAAGAGGAGGAAAGGCAGGGTGGTCCAGCAGCGTCCAGGGAGGGAGCAGGCTGCCTGTCCCCCTACTCCTGGCAGGTAGTGGGGATCAGGAAGGAGCCACATCCTTATCGAAGGTCCCTTTTACTCAGTTACTCTGCCCCCTGGCAAATGTAGCCCACACCAGAGGTGCTTCTCTTAACCGTGGGGTAAAATCAGGTGTGGGTTGGGAGGAGGACAGGAAGGGATCCTGAATTGCTTTGGGAGGTCAGGCTGCTCCAAACAAGGCAGCTCCAGTTTAATCTTTAAAAAATTAAATTAACACAGTTCCTGGGGCTTAGTAGGTGTTGCTTGCCTTGCTCTCCCCTCCCCTCAAGGGGCCAACCGTCCCCCAGGATGCAGTGTTTCCCGGACCTCTTGGTCATCACGGCAGACAGGGGCGGTGGTCAGCAGGCTGGTGGCCGGCTCCTTAGGGACGGAGCTCCCTCTGCTGGCCCTCGAGCTGGAGCCTCCAGGCCGCTGAGCAACTTCAAATTCTTGTCGTAATAATCTACAACAACCTGTTTATCACCTAGGACGATTGCCAGTCGCTGTAGATGGACAGCGCGGATATGGAGTGCCGAGAGGGCTCTCTAACTCCTGGCCTCGGGGCACACTTCTTAATCTCTCTGTTATCTCATCTTTAAAGTGGATATAATAATGGTGTATGGTACGGTGGCTCACGCCTGTAATCCTAGCACTCTGGGAGGCCGAGGCAGGCGGATAGCTCAAGGTCAGGAGTTTGAAAACAGCCTGAGCAAGAGTGAGACCCTGTCTCTGCTAAAAATAGAAAGAAATTAATTGACAAGTAAAAAATACATATATAAAATTAGCCGGGCATGGTGGCGCATGCCTGTAGTCCCAGCTACTCAGGAGGCTGAGGCAGCAGGATTGCTTGAGCCCAGGATTTGAGGTTGCTGTGAGCTAGGCTGATGCCACTGCACTCTAGCCCAGGCAACAGAGTGAGACTCTGTCTCAAAATAATAATAATAATGCTGTATATCAATCAGGGTCCAGTGAGAAAAACAGAAATTATAAGACAGATGCTCCTCTACTTATCATGGGACTTCCTTCCAATAAACCATTGTAAATTGAAAATATCCTCAGTTGAAATTTTCAGCTGGGTTTATCTGGACCGTACCCCTGTCATAAATCAAGGAGCATACTGAATGCTATCACTTTTGCACCACTGTAAAGCTGAAAAACCATCAACAGGGACCACGTGTAGTTGAGGTAACAGAGAGAATGTGGGGGAAATCATTATCGCGTGTTGGGGGACTGAAGGGACTGCAGGGGTGTTTGGAGGTCACAGATGGTAGGTAACTGCAGGAACCTGGAGAGTCAGAGCACAGAGTTTGTCATCTGCACAGAGTAGGAAGGAAGGCATGAGCCCCTGGGAACAGCTCTCTGCTGCCCCAAAGAAGATAATAGTGATCACCAACCGGGAGGAAGGGAAGTGTCAGGGGGACTTATCTGGATAGGAGATGCTGGCCCTGCAAGGGGGTCCCACACTGTGCCCCCCGCAAGGAGTCCTGAGGGCACGGCGAACTGCTGCGGCAGTGCCAGGGAGAGAAAGACCTGCACCTGTGTCTCAGAGCCAGGAGGAGCCTCATCTGTGTCCAGCAGGACGCAGGCAGCACACTCGAACCGGGGAATTGAAAATAATTTAATCAAGGATCTACTCACCAAAGTGTAGGCAGGGTTGAATAACAGCAACGTGGAAGGGCTGGCACAGTACTCTGGGACTAGTAACAGCTGGAAGCTGTTAACTACCATTCTTAGGGCTGACTGAGCCTAACTCAGTTAGGCTGAGGGATAATAGGACCTGCTGGGCTGTATGGCGAGGGCTGCCTGGCAGAGGTGGTAACTTGGTGCACAGCCAGCCCACGGTGGCCTCCCCGAAGGCAGGAAGCTGGGGCATGCATTGTCTGTTGATTTTTTTCCTCCTTCTTGCCAGGACTAGGGTTGATTACATGGAAAATACTTACACTAAAAGCTTATTGTTGTTTTTCTGAAATTCAAATTTAGTGGGGAGTCCTAGATTCTATCTGGCAAATCTAGCTTGTCCTCCCGTTGGCTGAGCCCAGACAAAAGCCAAAGCATAGAAAACCTGCAGATGCAGCCATGTAAGTCACACTGAGTTAATCCTATAGGCAATAGGGATAATCAAAGATTTTCAGGAACGGAATTAATAAAACAAATGCTTTATTTAATATTCATAGCAACATTATTCATACTAGCACAAAACTGGAAACAGCTCAAATACAGATTAATAGAAGAATAAATAAGTTATATTGTTTATGTGATGGAATATTATACAGCACTGAAAATCAACTACAGCCATATGCAACAACATGGATTTTTTGGTTTTAATTAATTAGTCTCAGTTTATTGGGGTCTTCTTTGGTATAAATTTCTTAAGTAGTAATATTTAAAATCTAAAAATCAAATCATATTTAATTTGTTTAGGGTATATATCTTAATTAGAATTTAACAGATATATAACTTTAAGATAATTACTATATCACAGAATTATTTCCAATCTCTAGGTGTAGTTAATGTATTTTGTAGGCAGCTGTATCCTTGACTTTTGTGTTTCTTCTCAAATAATCATGTAAAATAATCTTTACATGACTGCCTCATTTATTTTATGTTTTCCTATTCATTTTTTAGTATATTTTTATGAAGGTATAATATACATATGGTCATGTAACTATCACAAAATCTTACTATAAAACAGTTCCATCATACCCCTAAATTTCTTAGACCTGTTTGTGGTTACCTCCTCTCCCAGCCCTCAGTCCCTGGAAACCACTGATCTGTTTTCTGTCCTTACCATTTTTCCTTTTTCAGAATTTTACATAAATGAAATCCTACAGTATGTAGCCCTTTGAGTCTGGCCTCTTTCACTTAGCTTGGTGGGTTTGTTTTTGCATGTATCAATATTTCATTCCTTTTCGTTGCTAAGTATTATTGCATTGTATTGATGATATACTACGGCTTGTCCATCCAGAGGTTTAATGGCATTTGGAATATGTATCAGTCAGGATTCTCTAGAGGCTCTATCTATCTATCTAGAACAAATAAATGAATGAAAAGAATTTATTTTAAGGAATTGGCTCCTGTGTTTGTGGCAGCTGGTAAGTCCAAAATCTATGGAGCTGTGGGGCAGCCCAGCAAGTTGGTAACTCAGGGTTTCTTTTCTTTTCTTTTTTTTTTTTTTGAGACAGAGTCTCACTCTGTTGCCTGGGCTAGAGTGCCGTGGCATCAGCCTAGCTCACAGCAACCTCCAACTCCTGGCTCAAGCGATCTTCCTGCCTTAGTCTCCCGAGTAGCTGAGACTCTAGGCATATGCCACCAGGCCTGGCTAATTTTTTCTGTATATTTTTAGTTGGCCAATTAATTTGTTTCTATTTTCAGTAAAGATGGGGGTCTCACTCTTGCTCAGGCTGGTTTCGAACTCCTGACCTTGAGCAATCCTCCCGCCTCAGCCTCCCAGAGCGCTAGGATTTCAGGTGTGAGCCACCGCACCCAGCCTAACTGCCTTTTGCCATTTATGTTTTGGTTGCCTGATTTTATGAAAAGTAGGGTCTTTTGTCATCTACAGGACACTCTCAGGACTGAAACCCAATGTGTGGGAGGAAAGGGTTAGCTTTTTTTAAGTGGTGCAGCCATGCTGATGCTTTTCTTTTCCTATCGATTAATTTTAATTTTTCTCAGATCTATATACATATTTTAAAGAACCAAATATATCTTATTAAGAAAACCAGGCCAGGCATGGTGGCTCACACCTGTAATCCTAGCACTCTGGGAGGCCAAGGCAGGTGGATCGTTTGAGCTCAGGAGTTTGAGACCAGCCTGAGCAAGAGCAAGATCCATCTCTACTAAAATATAGAAAGAAATTAGCTGGACAACTAAAATATATATATATATATATATATAAATTAGCTGGGCATGGTGGCACATGCCTGTAGTCCCAGCTACGTGGGAGCCTGAGGCAGGAGGATCACTTGAGCTCAAGAGTTTGAGGTTGCTGTGAGCTAGGCTGATGCCACGGCACTCTAGCCCGAGCAACAGAGTGAGACTCTGTCAAAAAAAAAAAAAAAATAGAAAATCAGAAATTCCACTCCTGGAACTTCTTTTATTTCCTGTTCAAAGAGTCATCTACTCTCAAATCTTAACTGAATTTTTAGTATTAACCTCCCTATCTTTATTTTTATTTTATTTTTTGTAGAAATGAGGGTCTCACTATATTGCTCAGGCTGGTCTCGATCTCCTGGCCTCAAGAGATCCTTCCTTCTTGGCCTCCCAAAGTGCTAGGATTATAGGTGTGAGCCACCTTGCCCAGCCTAACTTTCATTTTTGAGGAATTAATAAATGTCTTATTTTCTGTTCACTTGGTTTTCTATGTACTTATCATTAACATATCCCCAAATTCTCCCTCAGTTGTTTGCTCTCCTTTCAATAAGATTAAATAAATTAGATATTCTTTACATTTCATTTTCTTGAAGAAATCTCTCTGAGACTTTTATTTTCACAGACTAAGTTTTGAAAGAAAAAATAAAGAGCCAATTTAAAAATTGCGGTAAAATAATACATAAAATTTACCATTTTAATCATTTTAAGTGTACAGTTCAGTGGCATTAATTATATTCAGACTGTTGTGCAGCCATCAGCACTCTTCATCTCCAGAACTTTTTCTCATCTTCCAAAACTGAAACTCCATACTCATCAAACACTAAGTCCCCATTCCCTGGGAACACCATTCTACTCTCTGTACCCATGAATTTGACTATTCTAGGTACCTAATGTAAGTGGAATCATATAATACTTGTCCTTTTGTGACTGGCCTATTTCTCTTAGCATAATGTCTTCAAGGTTCCTCCATGTGGTAGTCAGAATTTCCTTCCCTTTCAAAGCTGAGTAATATTGCATTGTATGTATCTACTCCATTTTGTCTATCCATTCAACATCCATTGTTGGATACCTGGGTTGCTTCTGCCTCTTAGCTATTGAGAATAATACTGCTATGAACATATGTGTCTTGGTCTGTTCAGGCTGCTATAACAATACATTAAACTGGATAGCTCTTAGACAACAGACATTTATTTCTCATGGTTCTAGAGGCTAGAAGTCCAAGAAAAAGGCACCGGCATGATTACGTTCTGGTGAAGGTGCACAGACGGTGCTTTCTTGCTGTGTCTTCACTTGGTGGAAGGAGAACTCTCTGGGGTTGCTTTGTAAGGACACTGATCCCACTCATGAGGACTCCACTCATGACCCAATCACCTCCAAAGGCTCCACCATCTAATACTATCACTGTGAAGATTAGGTTTCAACGTAAGAATTTTGGGAAGACACATTCAGAAAATAGCAACAGGTGTACAAATATCTCATTGCAACCCTGCTTTCAATTCTTTGGGGTATATATCTAGAAGTGGAATTGCTGGATCATATGATAATTATATTTTTAACTTTTTGAGGAGCTGTCATACTCCTTCCCACAGCAGCGGCACCATTTCACATTCCCACCATCAGTGCACAAGGGGTCTCATTTCCCCACATCCTCGCCGACACTTGTGATTTTCTGCTTTTTGGACTGTAGCCATCCCAGTGGGTATGGTGCTCTTTCCTTTTGGTTGTTCCTTATCAATTTATTTTAGGGGGGGTAGTTCCTTTTCCTCTGACTTCTTACATGTTGGTGTTCCCTAAGATCCTCAGCCCTATTCTCTTTTATGCCCACCCCAGCGGAAACTTTCTCTAATACTAAGACTTAACTACACCTACAGTTTTATTACTGCCGAGGCCTGTCTAGGCCTCTATGTGAGCTCCACAGTTCTATATCCATTTACACATTGGGCAACTTTAAATACAGGCCCCATCAGCCAGTACCAAACCAAACTAACTTTCCCTACACTCTGGTCTTTCTCTCATATTGCCTGAGTCAGGAAAGGTCTCATGATCTGGGCAGCCAACCAAGCCGTTAACATAGGAGTTCTCTTACTTTCCCCTTCTCCCGTCCTTCTGCCCTGTCATCTTGTATCCATAACCTTCTGTCTTTTCTCGTTGTTGCTGCCTAAACCCACTCCATATATACCTTCTTCTCTCTTGCCTAGACTATCGAAATTATGTCCCAGTAGCTCTCTCAGCCTGAAAGCTTTGATCCCTATAAAACTCCTTACTACTTCTTGAGTTATCCCAGGACTATACAGATCTGGTGTTACTCCTCTGCTTGAAACCCCTGACTATGTATGGAAGAGTAAGGGACTAAGACTAGCCAGGACACTCCTAAAGAAGAGCAGGATGAGGACTTATTATAAAGATTGGGTTCGATACTGGTACAGGCATAGACAAGTTGGCCAATGGAGTGGCACAGAGAGCCCAGAAACAAACCTGCACAAACTGTGATACGTGACTCTGGTGGCCAAGAAGCTGTGCTGCTCAGAACCTGCTGCAAGGAGTGTGGTTAGTGGACAGCCTCCAAGTTGCTGCCTCTTCATACCCATGGCAGCATTCATACAGAGACCACACCAGATCAACTGGGAAGGGGCAGCTGTTCAATAAATAGAGTTAGGAAATAAAGGTTATCCATATGAAAAAATACAAAATTGGATCCATACCCTACACATACAATTTAACTCCAGATAGATTCATGGCTCAAGCATCAAAAGCAAAGTTTTAAAAGTCTTAGTAGTTATTATGAGTATCTTCTAGAGTTTATAATTTAAACCTTGAGGTAGAGAAATATTCCTTAAACAGAGACACACACGCACATACACACAATGAATAAATCTGGCCATTTTAAAATTAAGAACTGTCGTTCATCAACCCCCCTCCCCCAAAAAACAGAGACAGACAAGTTACAAACTAGGAGAAGAAATTTGCATTGTATATAACTAACAAAAGATTAGCTTCAAGAATTCCTACAAATTGGCCAGATGTGGTGGCTCATGCCTGTAATCCTAGCTCTCTGGGAGGCCAAGGTGGGAGGATCACTTGAGCTCAGGAGTTCAAGACCAGCCTGAGCAAGAACGAGACCCCGTCTCTACTAAAAATAGAAAGAAAATTAGCTGGACAACTAAAAATTATATAGAAAAAATTAGCCAAGGATGGTGATGCATGCCTGTAGTCCCAGCTCCTTGGGAGGCTGAGGCAGTAGGATTGCTTGAGCTCAGGAGGTTGCTGTGAACTAGGCTGACGCCACTGCACTCTACTCAGGGCAACAGAGTGAGATTCTGTCTCAAAAAATAAAACATAAATTAAATAAAAATGAAAATAGAAAAATTAGCTGGGCATTGTGGCATGCGCCTGTAGTCCCAGCTACTTGGGAGGCTGAGGCAGGAGGATTGCTTGAGACCAGGAGTTTGAGGTTGCTGTGAGCTAGGCTGATACCACAGCACTCTACTCAGGGCAACGGAGTGAGACTGTCTCAAAAAAAAAAAAAAAAAAAAAAAAAAAAAAAAGGGCCGGGCCGGGTGGCTCACGCCTGTAATCCTAGCACTCTGGGAGGCCGAGGCGGGTGGATTGCTCAGGTCAGGAGTTCAAACCAGCCTGAGCGAGACCCGTCTCTACTATAACAGAAAGAAATTAATGGCCAACTAATATCTATATAAAAAAAAATTAGCCAGGCATGGTGGCGCATGCCTGTAGTCCCAGCTACTAGGGAGGCTGAGGCAGTAGGATCGCTGAGCCCAGGAGATTGAGGTTGCTGTGAGCCAGGCTGACGCCACGGCACTCACTCTAGCCTGGGCAAGAAAGTGAGACTCTGTCTCAAAAAAAAAAAAAAAAAAAAAAAAAAAGAATTACTACAAATCAATGAGAAAAGCACATATAACCTAATAGAAAACTAGGCAAAAGATATCAACAGACATTTTTCAGAGGAAACACATATGGATAATAAAATATGAGGAGATGTTCAATTTCACTGATTAGGTAAATACGAATTAAGATCACATTGAGCTAACACTTTGATAAAAATGTAAAAAACCTGAGAAACCCAAGCACTAAAGAGAATGTGCATCCACTTATAGATCTTCCTAAACAATGCCCATGGGAGTACAAATCCATGTATCCACTTTGGGGAAAATATTCACTAAAACTGAATATTTTCACTAAAACTGAAAATATTCACTAAACTGAAACCTTGTAATGTGACAATTTTGTCTTTAGGTATAGACCCAAATACACCAAAGAAAAGCTCTTGCACATCTATAACTGAAGACAGGTACGAAAATGTTCATAGCAGCATTATTCACAATAGTAAAAACCTGGAAGCAACCCAAATGTCCATTAATGAGAAATCAGGCAAAGTGTGGTATATTCACACACTGAAATATCATATAATAGTAGAAAGGAATGAACTATATATATAAAATATGGTTGAATCTTATTCATGTTTCGTGAGAAAAAAGTCTCAAAAGATTACAAAGCATAAATTGTCTTTGTAATAGACTTTATATTTTAGAGTAGTTTTAGGTTTACAGAACAGTTGTGCAGAAAGCAGAGTTTCTATATACACGCTCCTCCACTACAAACAGTTTCCCCTATTATTACCATTTTACTTTAGTGTAGTGCATTTGTTGCAATTGATGAATCAATATTGACACAGTATTATTATTTACACTAAGATGCACTCTATGTTGCACAGTTCTATGGGTTTTGACAAATGCATAATGTCATGTCCCCACCCTTACAGTATCATACAGAATAGTTTCACTGCCCTAAAAGCTCTCTATGCTCCACCTAATTCATCCCTCCTCCTCCCCTGGAACGCCTAGCACCACTGATTTTTTTATTGTCCATAGTGTTGCTTTTCCCAGAATGTTATAGTTAGAATCATAGAGTATATAGCCTTTTCAGACCAGATTCTTTCACTTAGTAATAGGCTTTTGAGATTATTCCATGTCTTATTGTGGCTTGATAGCTCATTTCTTTTTATCCATTGTATGGATGTTACCACTTTGTACTACAGTTTATCCATTCACTTAATCAAGGATATCTTGGTTGCTTGGTCGGAATCAATTGCCCCTTGAATTTGGGGCAATTATGAATAAAACTGCTGTAAAGATTTGTGTGTGGGTTTTTTTTTTTTTTTTTGAGACAGAGTCTTGCTTTGTTGCCTAGGCTAGAGTGAGTGCCATGGCGTCAGCCTAGCTCACAGCAACCTCAAACTCCTGGGCTCAAGCGATCCTTCTGTCTCAGCCTCCCAAGTAGCTGGGACTACAGGCATGAGCCACCATGCCCGGCTAATTTTTTCTAAATATATTAGTTGGCCAATTAGTTTCTTTCTATTTATAGTAGAGACGGGTCTCGCTCTTGCTCAGGCTGGTTTCGAACTCCCGACCTCGAGCAATCCACCCGCCTCGGCCTCCCAGAGAGCTAGGATTACAGGCGTGAGCCACCGCGCCCGGCCTGTGTGTGGGTTTTTATGTAAACATAGGTTTCAACTCATTTGGCTAGATACCTAGGAGTTATGTCTAGCTTTGCAAGAAATTGCAAAACTGTCTTCCAGAGTGGCTGTACCATTTTGCATTCCCACCAGCAATGAATGAGAGTTCCTGTTGTTTTACATCCTCATCAGCATATGGTGTTGCCAGTATTCTGGATTTCAGCCATTCTAATAGGTGTGTAGTGGGCATATTCTTTTTATTAAGTTAAAAAATTCAAATGCACATGTGTATAAGGCACACACTGTTTAGGGCTATATATATGTATATGTGCGTGTGTGTGTGTGTGTGTGTGTAATAAAACTTTGTAAAAGAAAAGCAAGAAATAGTGAAGACAGGATTCAAGATGATGGTTAGCCCAGATGAGAGGAGTCAGGAAGATGAGTTAATGTGTGTAGGAGGCATACCATATATGTAAACTGCTGTCACTATAATGTTTTTAGGGTGGTGGGTTTATAGCTATTACTACAATATTAAAAGTAACTAAATTAATAAAAGTGGGTGAAGTAAACTAGATAATAACCCACTAAAGATGTCTATGTTCTAATCCTCAGAACTTGTGAATATTATGTTATGGTAAAGGAACTTTACAGATGTGATTAAGAATTCTGAGGCCCGGTGTGGTGGCTCACGTGACAAGGCAGGAGCATCACTAAGCTCAGGAGTTTGAGACCAGCCTGAGCAAGAGCTAGACCTCATCTCTACTAAACATAGAAAAATTAGCTGGGTGTTGTGGTGTGCCCCATAGTCTCAGGTACTTGGGAGGCTGAGGCAGGAGGATCACTTGAGCCCAGCAGTTTGAGGTTGCAGTGAGTTACGATGATGCCACTGTACTCTATCAAGGACAACAGCATGAGACTTTGTCTCAAAAAAAAAAGGTAATATAATAAATTCATGTTGTTTTAAGCCTCTAACTTTGCAGTAATTTGTTACAGCAGCAACAGTAAACTAATAGAATGGTCCAGGTATGGATCAATGAATTGGATTATGATTAAATCTAGTTGTACACGTAGGTCCAATTAAAAAAACAGATAAAACCTCATTGAAGGCCAGTTGCGGAAGCTCACGCCCCTAATCCTAGCACTCTGGGAGGCAGAGGCGGGCGGATCGCTCAAGGTCACGAGTTCGAAACCAGCCTGAGCAAGAGCAAGACCCCCGTCTCTACTATAAATAGAAAGAAGTTAATTGGCCAACTAATATATATAGAAAACATTAGCCGGGCATGGTGGCGCATGCCTGCAGTCCCAGCTACTCGGGAGGCTGAGGCAGGAGGATTGCTTGAGCCCAGGAGTTTGAGGTTGCTGTGAACTAGGCTGATGCCACGGCACTCACTCTAGCCCAGAGAGAGAGACTCTGTCTCAAAAAAAACACAAAACCTCATTGAATGGTTCCTCACTGTCTAGAAGATAAAGCTGAAACCCTTCAGAATGATATAGACCCTTGACAACATAGTTTTACAAGGCCCAGGCCCCCCTCTCTAGCTTTAGCTCTCAAGACGCCTATTTCATGCTGCACCCCCTTCGCCCCATACCTTTTAGCCATAGGTCTTGTCTTCTGAATCCTTTTGCTATTCCCACTGATTCTTAAGGGGCTCAACTCCTTGGCAATCTCCATGGTATTCCAGGTTGAAATCTCCTCCTCGGCAAATTGACATTAAACCTCCTGCTGTGTGGTTGACTGGGGCTACAAGATTGGATTCAGTAGTACCTGCTGCACAGCCACTTGCAGGGTAGGTCCCCAGTACGTTTGCAGAACCACCTCATAAGACATTGTTAACTGGGGCTGTTAAGCTCTGGCAATAGGCTGGAAGATCGTTCTTTCCCCTCACCCTTCACCAAGCTACAAGAGTAGATACGAATTCAATAATGTTCTTCTCAAGGTGCTTGGGGTGGGGGGAGCTTAACACATTCTGCAGGGCTGCAGAGCTAGTTTCGCTTTCCACAGCTTCAGGCACAACTGCATTCCCCATCCACATGGCTGATGTAAGTGCAAACTTAAATCTCTGCTCGTTTCTGCCCAGCGATTTCTTTTTTAATTCTAAGAATTAAATAAGGGGGCAAGGGTAGGAGGGAAAGTCTTTTTTTTTTTTTGAAACAGGGTCTCGCGCTGTCCCCCAGGCCAGAGTGCAGTGTCATTATATATAGCTCAAACTCCTGGTGATCCTCTCACTCCAGCCTCCGGAGTAGCTGAGACGACCAGCCCGCGCCACCACGCCCCGCTAATTAAAATGTTCTCTTTGTAAAGCCGAGTAAGGCTTTGTTGCTCAGGCTGGTCTCTAACTCCTGGGCTGCAGCGATCCTCCCAACGCGCTGGGATTACAGGCGTGAGCCACGGCGCCCAGCCTGCAAGTCACTTTAATGGAGGACTGCAATTTTCAGCCCCTTATCCGATGAGATAATGGACAGGGAAACATGAAACTTGTAAAGCAATTTACAAGCAGGGTAGCTAGGCTAGGAATACATTTGCGGGGAGAAAGCGCTCAAAAGATACAGCCGGCCCTTGGCCCGAAGTCCGCTCCAGCCCCTGCCGGTCCCCACCGGGCCAGCCTCTCTCCCGCCCGTCGCGCGAGGCGGCGGTTGATGACCGCGGGCCGGCCGTTCCGATTAACACAGGAGGGCCGGAAAGGCCTACAAGCTCGGACACCACGCGGAGGCCGAACACTGCCTGAGCCGCAGTTGAAGAAACCGCTCTTGGGCTGGACGGAGGCGGAGCAGAAGCTCAGGCTGAGCCAACAGAAGAGCCTTAAAATGCGGGGAGCAGTACTAGGACAGCCCCCAGCGCGAGGCACTCTGGGACTTGTAGTTTACTTCCCGACGGCACCTTCCCCACTTCGTCTCCCCGCCTTTCAACGTCGCCTTTATTCTTCCTTTCCCTCCCACACGCTGACTTCACGGTCGCCGCACGTCCTCACGTACGCCTACACTACCCAGAAGTCTCTTCTTCGCGTCCCAGCGCGGGCGGGCGCCGGCCGTCTCCTTTGGACTACAGTTCCCAGAAGTCCTTTGGAGAAGTGCTTCCCTTTCTCACTTCGAGGACCACAATTCCCAGAGACTTCGGCTTCCCGGCGTTTCTCGTTTTACCCGATCTCTTCTGGAGCTGGCTGGGCTTTGGCCGGCCACCAGGCCCACGGCGACGACGTGGCCCGTCGTGACCAGGCACAGGGTTTCCTCAGCGCCCTGTTTTTGTCTCCCTTCAGTTATCCCCCTCGCAGGCCGTCGCGGCCAGCCTGAGCGGTGACCTGGCGGGCCGCGCCTGCGCTCTGCCCCGTTTCCTGCCTGGCTGGTGGCGGCGGCCATTTTGTTCATCCTCCTCCTCCTCCTGCTCCTCCTGGTTGGAGCGCAGTGTCCGGAGCGGGCTGGGGGGAGAGAGCCCGAGAGCAGGGTTCGGTACCTTTTCCTCTGTCCCCAGCCGGTGCCCGGAGCCCCCCTCCCCTTCCTCCCCACCCCCTCCCCTCCCCAGCCCTGCCCTCCCTCTTGTCCCGGGATCGCTCCGTCGCACCCACCATGATGGAAGACGACGGGCAGCCCCGGACTCTGTGAGTACCTGAGACTGGGGGTGCCAAGCGCCGAGAGGCCCGGGCACCGTGGGACGCTAAGGGAGGGAGCAGGAGAGAGTGGGCCAAACCCGGGACTCTAGGCGGCTCCCTGGCGAGGGTGGCGTGGACGCTAAGTGCATTCCTCATCTGTCCCCTTTTCCTTGGGAAGGAAGCCCTCCCTTCCCCCAAACAGTCACTTCCTGGGGTCTGGGGCTTGTCTCGACCTTTTTCTCTCTAGCCTTTCTTTGCACACCTTCCCTAGACCAGGTTTCTGCACGGCTGAGGCTGTCAGGCCCAGGAGAGCTCCCGCTCCCCCTCTGCTTTTGGGGGGGCCTGGGCTGGGCCCGGAGCTGCCGGTCCCTACGGGGCAGGGCCTGGTGGGGGTGGGACCGGGGGTGGGACTGCGGCTGCATCCCCTGCGGGCCGAGGAATTAGCACTGACACCCTCCACGTCCACAGCTCGGGTTGCTCCCAGCTCTTCACCCAAGCTAAACTCTCCAAGGAAGCCGGGCACTCTTCCACTCAAGCCCCTTTTCTCTTTCTGCCCCACGTGCCCCCGCCCACGCTGTCAGGAAAACCCGCCTAGCGCCCGCTACTTTTGAAGTGCAAAAGAGATGCCTCTTGCCGCCCGAGCATCTTTCCCTTCTTGGATAACGAAGTTTACTTTGAGCGCTCCCTACACTAAATTGACAACCAGTTGTTAAACTCCTTTTGCTCTCTTGGTGTTGCCTCTTCCTAATCTGTTTGTGCGTCGAAACCTTCAGAGTTGGCTGAAATGATGTTTTCATCCGCTATTCGATGTGTGTCCTTTGGGCGCTTTTTCTCCTTGTGTTGCTGTTGCTTTTTACCTGAAGCCCAATCTAATGAATGAATTTCATCTTCCAACCATTTAATTCGAGTTTCCATCCTTTCCCAATGAAGAGTGATGACTCAGCATTTGTGTTCCTTTCCGGATAGTGTGGCACTCCTTTCTTTCTCTTGCATTTTTTTTGAAGTCTGAGTAATTTCTAATTAAATGTTTAAATTGGGCACCTTCAGTTTTCCCAGCCTCTCGAGGCTCAGCACTCCTACCTTTAAGCACAAGGAGTCAGATCGTTGCTTTGTTTCTCTTGCCTCTCCTGGTATTGATATGATCATAGTTCACTTGGCTCTGCTGTCTGATGGGGAAATTACTTTTTTGGGGAGTAAACGAAGGTGGATGGGCACTCAGGCAGTTTGAGTAGCTTCTCATCTCTTCACTCCTACCAAAGAAAGTATGCTCAGTAAAGAAGATAGATGTTCAATATTGATACACATTTTTTGTAGCCTTGAACTCTTTTTATTCCTGTTTCTCTAATGTTCTTACTAAAGTATTTGCTATCTTGTTTTGAGAATTTAAGGCCACCTTAAGCACATCAAATGCTTCAATGAAAAGCTTGCTTAATAGAGCTTTTATATTTATGTTTTATGTTGTCTTCTATTTCTGCCCTCTCTTCCAAGAAAGGAGAGAATTGGGACACACTTGAAATTTGTCCTTAAACATCTGTTGAAGCTGAGGCTTGGTGTTTAGTTAGCAATGTGTACTTTAATGGAAGCATCTGGGAAAGCTAGATTCAATGCCTAGCTAGCATGTATTTAACAAAGATAAAAGTTACATTGTATCTAAAAATCTGAAATGTCATCATTGCATCATAATAGCTACTGAATAATTGATAAATTCTCATGGCACATGTCTCATTAACTGTATCTATCTGTTCTTTATAAAGAGGAATTTCTGGTTTTGTCATGCAAAATAATATGCTTTTCCAATATTCTTTGTCTATCTTTGCATCTGCCTTGTCTTCATCTCTATCAGATCTCCAGTAGACTAATAAACTAACTTCTTTGTTACTTATTCCCTACCTCTGTCTTCTCCAATCTCCTGTTCTTTTCTTTGAAACACTTGTTTTCTATGTTTACAATTGTCTAAAAATGTGACAGGTAAACGAGTGAGTAAATAAACATCTTAAGCTCTGTTGTTTCTGTATGTCAGTACATGTTTACTATTGTCTTCCTTTTTCCTTCTCCCACTCTTCTCCATGGGAAAGGTTTTCTTAAGACAAGGACTGCTACATCTTCCTAGGTCTTACCCCTGCAGCACTTAGTTCACTGCCTGGAACATAAGAGGTACTCGAATATTTTTACAATGATTATACTTCTTTTGTTAAATTAGTATTAAGACCTTTTTTAAAAATCCTGATTGAATTATGATTATAGGCAGACATACTGTCAAACGTGTTGCAGTCTGTTGATTTTTATATATTTTTTAAACCTTCAAATGAAAAATCTTGAGATAAGAGCAAATGTTTCATAGTTGGGATTTTTATCATAGAGTTTAATAAAAAATAATGCATAGTAGTTTTTTTTAAAGTATACCTTTTATATATTACTCCTCAAAGGGTTCCTTTAGTTACAAGTAACATGATGAAAACTTTGAACGTGATTTTAGAGGTTGATACCCAGTAGAGTTTTGTTTTGTTTATGGAGCTCCTATATTTCACATTGTGACCTATGGATTAGGTTTTCAAGTGGCTAGTATGTTTTAAAAGAATGTACTCTTAACAAAGCTTATCTTAAATTGTTTCCTTAAAATGCCTGTGTGTTACTAGTGAGGTTTTTTTCCTGCAGACACACACAAGCTAAGACATATGGTTCTATCTTCAGAAAACAATATGGTGTTTATAGCCTAGGTAGGTCTTTAAATATTCATTACCTACAGTATTACTAATTTATTTGATGGTATTTAAAGTGGTATAGAATTGCTTTGATGTTGAGCCTAAATTTTTATTTGTCATATAGCTGCTTTAAAGATCTGTTTTCTGATGTTCTTCATTCTCATTTGACATTTATTTTGGGGTATTATGTATTGAGTAACTTATGATCTAAAAAAACAAACAAACAAGATCATGCTGTGTAATACTGATGTTGGAACTGGACTGCCTGACACCTGCCTTGTGGGACACACGCTTCAGGCTTGTGTTGTGTGCAGCTTTGTAGTGCAGTGATTTGATCCATGGTATATCTGAATCTACAATACAACACTAAATTGTAATAGTGTTCTTTAGCTGCATACCAGGTTAAAAAAAAAAACAAAGAAAAATTGTAGTGTTCTATTGTAGTTTATTTTATTTTATTCATCTATCTGGTAGAACAAAACCAGTAGGAATTGGGATAATACCATGTTACGCAATGCCTTCCTTTAAGGCTGTTCTTTCTTCCTGATAGTCAAAAGGAGGAAATAAACCAATGATACAGAGTAAAAGCTGAACATCTAGCAAAGCAGAAAAAAAATACCATAAAATCTTTTAAAATTGATTAGCTATACCATGGATTTGGCTATATTGTGGCTATAATCAAGCCCTTTGTTCAACTTAATCATATTTTTTGTTTCTTAAAGTGTGTGTATGTGTGTGTGAGTGAGAGAGAGAAAGAATATATCTCCTATATATTAATTTATAGTTGGTCAACTCAGTTGTACCTCCTGTACCTTTCCTCCACCCTGTTTCCTAAAATGAAGTACTATACTGACAAATCAAACAATTAATTAGAGGTCTATTGAAGAATATTGTTGCAAAATCTCCTCTTGTATAGG